TAACTGTTAACGTTATCCATCATCCATCTTATCGATCAGTCCACCAGGATTAGTTTCAGTGAAGTTGGAAGTTATTTTTTCCGTGTGTTGAACAACCAGTGTGTGAGAGTGTGTGTGCGTGTGTGTGTGTGTGTGTCTGAGCGTCTTACTTTCGTCAGGGTTGGGTGCGGCCAGGATGGCGCTGTGCTGCTTCTTGACCTGCTCCACATCCTCTGACAGCTTTTCTATACAGCCTCTGATCTCTTCAACCTGAGCACACACAAAACACACAAAACACACGTTACATTGAGGTCATCGCAGTGAGGTCATCGCAATGAGGTGACAGAGGGACACAACCAGGAAATAACATCAGTATTATTAGTTATACTGAAAACGAATGTTAACATCAGCATACTAATATGCTTAAAATGACAATGCTAACAAGCTAATTAATGTCTTTACCATGTTCCCAATTTTTTGTGTTAGCATGCTAACATTTGCTCATAAGCAGTAAAAACAAAGTACAGCTGTACGAAGGACCACAACCACCAAAATAAAAAACAAACACATTAATATGCCGTTAAATGCACCAAGAAATAATATTTAAACATTTAATTTAATTTGCTTCTGTTTTAATTCCGTTTGCATTTACTTTCCAATTGAATTAATGAATGTACTCCTTTTTAAATATATTTGTTTATGTATTATTTCCCCCAAACTTATTTATTTCTATGTTTTCTTTTACATTTCTGCTTCATTATGCTGATGATGTGCTGTCATTCGTTTCATTTTCTTGGGCTTTTATTGCCTTTAATTGATAGCTGAAGATAGACAGGAAAAGGGGGGCAGCTCTACCAGGTGAGCTATCCGGGCGCCCCTCATTTGTTTAATGTTAAGGCGGCTCCGACCAGGACTCTGATGTGGATCATATTTAATGGAGAAAATATTTACAGAAGTAGAGAAAATACATACAAACACAAATTAAATGTTGCAGTTGTGGTCCTCCATATTGCTGAGGCTAGTGGCAATGTCATCAATTTTACAGGTATTATATATTTTTTTTTTAATAAATTGATTATAAAGAGCATTTACTAAATAAACTAATAATAACAAACTAAATAAGTTAAAATAAAAATATAAATAAAATATATTAAAAGCTGAGAGATGAACAAAACGATGCTGAAATATAATAAACTGACACACAGAACAACAATGTCACATCTCAGCTGTTTCAGTGAATCAGTATTTGATTTATTAAACTCTTACATAAACAGCCTCAGTGTTCACTGACGATCAGCTGGTTTTTAGTGTCTTTGTGGTTTCTTATCCTCCACACAAGACGATGATCAGCTCTGAAGCTTCCTACCCTCCGGTGGGAGATCAACACCAAATCTGTGTGTGTGTGTTCAGTTGATGTGTATCGGCCGAGGAGGATAATCCACCTTCCACACTGAAGGTCACTGCACTCCCACGCCACAGTGACGAGTTGTTCTTTAAACGCCGGGAAAGTTTTGTCAGAATATAAACTCAAGGTCGGTGGATGCTAATTTGTCTTCAACAATGTGGACGATAAACGGGAACATTACAAACACAACACAATCTGTTCTGTCTACACTGTAAAATATAATCTGTACGTTAATTTTACAGATTATTTCTGTATTTTTAAATAGATTTAAATATCAATAAAATTACAAAAATATCCTGTGAATTTACATGTTTAATGTAAAATAATGTGAAAAATCTGTAACTGTAAATAATCATGAAATTACTCCCTATTTAAAGAAAATTTCCTTTTTTTCACATATAAAGATTAAAATAAATGTGAAAATCTATTTTTTCAGAGATATTTACTGTTATTTAATAGATTGATACTGATACATTTAACTTTAATACTGTTAATACATTTTAAAAAAAAATATTTGTTGTGTGATTTTACATAGATTTGTTTGTTAATTGACAGATATCTTGCATAATTATGGAAGTTTTCACAACAGAAACATTGAATAAATGTTGTTTATCAGTGTATAGTAAACTGTTCAAATTACAGTTATTTACCAGTGAAACACCAATAATTACTGTCATTTCACAAATAATAAATGACCTTTATTGCTGTTTATACTTTTTATTTGATTAAAATAAGAAAAATCAAATAATAACAGCACTCTGATGTAAATATAAGCCTGATTATTTGTATTATAACAGTGTTCACCTGTATTTGTAGCTCATTGGTTTTACAGTGTAAATATCTTTAATTAAACATTAAAAAGACAAAGATTGTAAAAAACTAAAACTGTAAACTTATAGAAAATTAATCATTATTTTCTTTATTTTACTGTATTTTTTTGCCGTCCAGCTGCTGGAATATTACTGGGTTTTATACAACTTTTTTTTTTTTTTTACACAGATAAACTCTACATATTCTCTCAGAAACAATGAGTTTGAAGGAGGATGGCTCAGTTATTGATGCTCTGAGGAAACGGGCTAACGAAGTGAAGCTGAGAGGAAAACATAAATTCAGCAGTTCATCTGTCTTCTCACACAACAGCAAACAAACTGAACAACTTCACTGCAGCAGCGGCTCTTTCTGCCTGTCTGGCTTCAACATATAAATCTGATCTTCATACATTTTAATCGAGGAAGGTTTTTTTTTTCTTTCCAACAAGCTCATTTTGAGTTTGATGCTGCTTCGTATAATTTATAATTAGCTCATTAAGATTGATCAAGCTCTGATGGAGGCTGTAAACTTTCAGTCTCTCCTCTTCCTCTGGTCATGTACAATAAAATCCTTTAAAACTTTTGTTTCAGTGGTTTTATCACGTGTGTGTAAACTCACTTTTACTCTGACCAATAACGACAGTTTGTGAACGCGTTACTGTCCTTATAAAGTCTGTTTGTGGACACGTTAGTGTCCTCCTAACGTCTGTTGTGAACACGTTACTGTCCTCATATCGTCTGTTTGTGAACATGTTAATGTCCCATAACGTCTGTTTGTGAACATGTTAATGTCCCCATATCGTCTGTTTGTGAACACGTTAATGTCCCTATAGCGTCTGTTTGTGACCACGTTAATGTCCCTATAACGTCTGTTTGTGAACATGTTAATGTCCTCATAAAGTATGTTTGTGAACACGATACTGTCCTCATAACGTCTGTTTGTGAACACGTTACTGTCCTCATACCGTCTGTGAACACGTTAATGTCCCCATATTGTCTGTTTGTGAACACGTTAATGTCCCTATAACGTCTGTTTGTGAACACGTTAATGTCCCTATAACGTCTGTTTGTGAACACTTTACTGTCCCATAACGTCTGTTTGTGAACATGTTAATGTCCCGTCTACATTAAAGGCCGGCGACTGTCTGTAACAGCTCGTGTTAACAGGAGGGAAAAGTGGACTTCAGAAGCTTCAGTGTGTCTTCGCCGTCGGTCTGCAGACGTGTGGTGATCAGCTCACAGGAACTCTGTCTCTGTGCAGATCTTTGCACTGATAACACAGACTCTCTTTCACTCATTCATAAACCGAACAGCTGAATCAAAGATCTTCCAGGTGCATTATGGGATCGTAGCAGCCGCTGGCAGCTTTTCTAAAATTGTTTCGTGTTTTTGAGCATATGTTTAGCTTTTTTTGTATAATTTATTAAAAATGGAATCCAGCTTGTTCCAGTGAGAATAAAATCTGCTGCCGTCCAGCTCGACTCAGTTAACTACAGACTGATTCCTACTTGGACAACATACTATTGACTTGGGCTCAGATTTGAAGTATTGGGGGGGCGGTCTGTATCCATCTCACATACCTTCAAAATAAAAGCTCTTTATCAAATATATTTATATCGCCAGTGGAGGTGAAAATACTTTGAGTTTCCTCTGAGAGAAACTACAGTGTGTAAGGTCTTCCAGGTTTTCCAGGTTT